GGGCCCTCTGGCGTCCCAAGCCAGCTCTTAACCAACGTGCCACTCGGCCGGCCCACCATTGACTATTTTATAATACATATTTTTAAATTTAAACATTCACTGTATTGTTTGATCACGCCTCATAGATAGATTCAGTCTATAAAGTGAAAATGAGCATAAAAAGTAATATTTTTTCCATATCATCAAAAGGACATCATCCTGTTAAATAGCATGGTGTTGTTACAGGAGTCCCTGACATTTGACGATGTGGCTGTGGACTTCACCTGGGAGGAATGGCAGCTCCTGGCCCCCAAGCAGAAGGACCTGTACTGGGACGTGATGTTGGAGAACTACAGCAACTTGGTATCAGCAGGTGAGGGCGACTCTCCTGTGTCACTCAGATGTCCCCAGTCAGTGGCCTTTCCATTCTCAGCTCCTGACAGGTCTGAAGTGGCATAAGTCTCAGTCTCTACTCTGGCCCCAGAGAAGAGGGTATATTCTCCCTTCTCCTGAGAGAAAAGCATTTGCTTTTGTAGGTATGAAAATTATTTTGTCTTTATTTTATTATTTTTAGCTGAGTCATCCTGCCACCTGTTGGCAGCTCAGCGGCAGCTCAGCTCCGGCTAGGAATCAAACTGCTGTTGCTCAGAGCTTACACTCTTGAGCGAGCTCTTAACCAACTGAGCCACTTGGCCGGCCTGTTTTGTCATTAAATCTAACATTCTGTGGTCTTCACAGAACCCCAAGCCCAATTCAATGTGTCTAACTCTTCTATCATTTTCCATGAACAGGGTATCAAGCCAGCAAACCAGACGCACTCTCCAAGTTGGATCGAGGAGAATCACCGTGGACAATGGCAGATGAAGTCCACTGTCGGACCCGTTCAGGTGAGTGAGGGAACCAGCAAGGGAAGAGGTGTGGAAATCACCATCTGGTTGTTCAGAGAAGAGTCACAGGTGAGGGACTTTGAGGATAGGTAAGCCGTGCCTCCATGCATGTCTCTCCCAATGGGAGACCTCTTAATCTTTGTAGGAGTTTGGAGTAAAAATATATCCCTTTTTATTTTGTTTGCATCTTGACTTTTTTGTTTGTATAGTTTTCTTCTTTGTAGGATTCTCAAATCTTTTCCATCTTCATACTCTTCCACCTCTTGGCTATGAGATTCCACTGTCCAAGGCCTGGCTCCAGGAGAAATCCCTGAATTCCTCACTGTCTCCCGACCACTCACCTTCCTGCCCTGGTAATGTGACTTCCCCTCCTAATATCCACCCCATCTTGGGTACTGTGTCCCAAAGTAAACTGGTCTTCAATATGCCTTTGCCTTTGTCTGCTTTTCTTTCTCTCTTAGCCTCTCTTTTTTGCCATTCTGAGGTTCTTCAAAGGCTGTTTTCCATTTTGTCCTCTGATCTCCTGTCCCTTCAATGTTTTCTTGATTCTAGTAAATGAAGACTTTTCTGCTCCCAGCAGGAGATGCCCAAATTGCTGTATCCCCAGCGTGATCCATCACAGACTTTAATTTAGTTCAGTAGAATTTACTCATCTTAATGGCAACCCTCTTGGGCTCATAATGACTGCAAGGACCTACAATCATCTTCCCTCCCAGGAAACGCCTATAAGTTCATGTTCTCCTTCACTCCTGTGCATCTTACATCTGGGCCATCCAGGTGTTACCTCACATGTTCCCTACTCGCAGAGCTCTCTTCTTTAATGGAGCCTGCTGTTCATAATGTACTGTAACTAGAAAAGATATTTTAATGTCCTGCATTCTGTGTTCCAGTCTAAACCAGATCATAACTCTTGCCTACTTCCATTTAATTCCTTTGTGTATTTACTAATTTTGAACTTTCTTCTCATTCATCATAGACATTACCACTGTATTTGTTTCCTAAAACTTTCATTTTTTTTCCTGTCATATTCTGAGGACATTAAGTCCCAGTTAACTCCATTACCTGTCACATGTGACTAAAATTCTTTTTATTTTAGTGATCTCCATGATATATCATCTTGTTCACAACGAGATACATTTCTATCTTGTCTCTTAAACTCTCTCCAGTGTGTCCCATACATGTGATCACCTCCTTGATTTATTTCTTTAAAAATTATTTTTTGATAGCCTCATGTATGCTGGGGGAGGGGGTAACAGCAGTGTGAAAAAGCATGCAAATAGACCAAGAGCTTTCATTCTAAGAGGAGAAGTCGAAAAATGAATAAAAATACACAAATAAATAATATATCTGGGGGGTGAAAGGTGCTGTGATAAAACTTTAGTCAGGTTGGGTCTACTCTTTTAGGAAGGGACCGCCTCTCTGATAGGTGCCTTTGAGCCATGAAATGAGAGAAGTGAGTAGGCTGCTGGGTTCAGAGAGTCAAGTAGAGAGGATGGCAGGTTGAAAAGTCCATGACAGGAATGTGTTTGAGAAACAAAGGAGTTTGCGTGGACAGGGCGGAGCATGCTATTGGGAATCTGATAGAAATGAGGCCACGTGGCAGCTGCAGCAGGGGTAGGGGAGATTGAGGTCGGTCATGTGGGGCCAAGTATGCCATTTCAAGGAATGATGATTTTCCTCCTAAAGAGATGAGAAACCTTGAGAAGATCTTGAGTGCTGGAATGACATGGAATAATTCACGTTTTCAAAGGATCCCTTTAGCTACTGCGTATAAAGTAGACAGTGGCGGGCAGAGGTCAGGCAAGAAAGCCATGGAAGAAACTGTTGCAAACATGATGACCAAGGGAATGGTTAGCTTCAGCATGCGTGGAGAGGTGAGTGTTGGTCACACTCTGGAGATAATTTTTATAGCAGGAAGATGAGATTTGACATTTAGTTAAATATGGGCTATTTAGAGGAACAAACAGATGAAGGTTGATGGGAAGGTTCTTGGGATGAAAATGGCTATAAAGGAACATTAAGGCAGCACAAGTGAATAACGAGTGCTTGGCCTTGGCACTCACTTTAGGAGTAAGACATCTCCTTTGTTAAGGTGTATTTGAGCAGGTACATGAGGGATGAGGAATGTTCCAAAGTAAACTATGGGGTTGTCAGAAAAGTCATGATGCATTTCTGCAACAAAAAACATAGAAAAATACGTCATGACTTTCTGACAACCCAATAGAAAGGTCAAAGACCTGAGGTGGGAGTATGTCTGGAGAACCTTAGCAAGCCTTTTGGGATAGAGCAGAGAGGCAAGACTGGAGAGAAGGTCAGTGGGGTAGTGGCTGGGGGTTGGGGTAGCAAGTCACATAAGGGCCTTTCAAGGACATTTCAAAACCTTGATTTCATTCCTCATGAGATGAGAAACCACTAGGGAGTTTTGAGTAGAGGACGACTGATGTGATATAATTTATGTTGAAAAGATCACTTGGGTTACTGTATAGAAAATAGACAGTCACTGGCAGGGAGGACCAGGAAGGCCAGGCAGGAGGCTCCTGCTGTAGTAGAGTGATTGGCTGTGACTGGTGGAATAGGTGGGTATTAGTCTAGCTTTGGGTATATTTATAAAGGAGGGCAGGTAGGATTTATCACTGAGGTAGATACTGTGTGTGAACAAGAGAAACAGAAGTATGATGCTGAGAAGTTTGGCCATGGTTAGAGCGGAGTGGACTTGTCATTTAGGGTGATGGGGATGATATGTGGGAAAGGACATTTGGGTTAGGAAATCAGCAGTTCTGTTTAGGAGGATGTACATTAGAGGTGCTAGGAGCTCTCTGCTGTGTCATTATCTCCTCCCGCCATGCCAACCACAGCAGTGAATCTACCAGGGAGTCCTGACTTCTTCCAAAATGTAACCTGATTTCCTGTCCTTCTTCGTCTCCGTTGCACCTTCCCACCAGCTTTCCCAGCCTGTAGCTGTCTTTCTTTTGTCTGTCTTTGCCCTGTAAGTGGTTTTACTAAAGTGCAGTGTAAGCTCTGTGAACATGAGGACTTATTTATTATCCCTGTCCTACTGTGGTGCTCAGTACACATTGATCGTCAGGAATGTGGACTCAGTGAGTCTGTCTCACCCACTTGGATGAGGGGGCACTCCCACCAGTGGTCTGCTGCTACAGTAAATTGCTTATAATTATAGTCTCTGAATGTTTGGCCAGGCCAATATTCAGAAAGTAGCCAAATTTGTGTTTATTCATTATTACTGTTTTTCCCAATGTACATGGGATGTTAAACATGGAGTTTAATTTATACTCGTAGGGTCATCACTAAAAAAGACAGCTCACGTCAGGGTATTTTTTTTAATTACCTTTCCTCCAAATCAAGGTGATAAAAGACTTCATCGTTTTCTTTCCTAGAAATCTGGAAAGATGATGATCATCAGCTGGAGCACTTACAAAATGAAAGCATGGAAAATAACCGAGGGCAATGGCATGAATGTAACACATTTGAAAATTCTGTCCATCTGAGCAAAACTCATTTAATATTAAGGCAAGGTCACGATATGTTTGACTCATATGGAAAAAGTATGAAATCAGATTTAACTTTACTTAACCAGAACAGAAGCTGTGAAATAAAGAACCCATCTGAGCTTAGTGGAGATGGGAAATCCTTTCACCATGCTAACAGTGAACAATTTCGGATTGCAGTTAAATTCCCCGAAAGCCGAAAACTCATCAGCACTAAGGCCCAACTCATCAAACATCAGAAGACTCAAAAAATGGAGAGGCCTCATGTATGCAGTGAGTGTGGGAAAGCATTCATGAAAAAGTCTTGGCTTACTGATCACCAGATTATTCATACAGGAGAGAAGCCCCATCGGTGTGGTCTGTGTGGGAAAGCCTTTTCCAGAAAGTTCATGCTCACCGAACACCAGAGAACGCACACAGGAGAGAAACCTTACAAATGCTCTGAATGTGGCAAAGCCTTTCTCAAGAAATCACGGCTCAATATACATCAGAAAACACACACAGGAGAGAAACCCTTTATATGCGGTGACTGTGGGAAAGGCTTTATCCAGAAAGGCAACCTCATTGTACATCAGCGAATTCATACCGGTGAGAAACCTTATATATGCAACGAATGTGGGAAAGGCTTCATCCAGAAGACATGCCTCATAGCACATCAGAGATTTCATACAGGAAAAACACCCTTTGTGTGCAGCGAATGTGGAAAATCCTGTTCCCAGAAGTCAGGTCTCATTAAACATCAAAGAATTCACACAGGAGAGAAACCCTTTGAGTGCAGTGACTGTGGGAAAGCCTTTACCACAAAGCAAAAGCTCATTGTCCATCAAAGAACTCATACAGGAGAACGACCCTATACCTGCAGTGAGTGTGGGAAAGCTTTTGCCTACATGTCTTGCCTTGTGAAACATAAGAGGATACACACAAGAGAGAAACGTGGAGATTCAGTCAAGGTGGAAAACCCTGTCCCGGAGAGTCACAGCTCATCACAGACCAGTGTTGTCCTGCAGGAGAAAAACCTTGTTAATTCGGTGACCGTGCAGGTGCCACCTGTGGCCCCTCACACAGCATTAAACATCAGTGGGCTCCCAGCCAACAGGAATGTAGTCATAGTGGGCCAGCCTATGGCCAGATGTGCACCCTCAGGATTTGCACAGGACAGAAACCTTATGAATGCAGTGAGTGTGGTCACGCCTTCAGTGATCAATTACGTCTTATTTTATGTCACAGCAAACCATTAGGAAAAAACTCTATGTGTATGAGACATTCTATGTGTAAAAGGCTTGAGCAAAAGTTTCTAGCTCATACTGTGTCTGAAAAGTCAATACTGAGAAATATTGAGAAATGCTGGGACTAGGAAAGCCTGATATCCTATTAAACAGATGCATTGATATAGAAGCATAATCTGATGTTAACCCAAACACATACATCAGTTGCTCTATTGTGTCAATTAATGGAATGAAAGAAGCTAAGAGGAGGAAATAAGTGAATGTTTAAAATATAATTTGTATCTCAAATGTTGCTATGAGTGACAAACCAGGAAAGGCTAATACTGGACTGGTGGAATGTGACCATGTATATATCAGTTCAGTTTCCCCAGGCCAGGGTGAAGGGTTGAGTAAAAACTGGGGCATCTACCAGAAACTCTCAGAAGTTGACATTATGCAGAGGGATTTAAGGAACAACAGGTTCAGATTGAGTCGACTCATTCATTTACTACGTATTGGTTAAATACTTCCTTTGTCCCTGGTTCTGTTCCAGGAGCTGAGGATACAGTGATGATCAAAACAGAAGTCTGGATAGAGTAGTGCGGTAGTCGGATTACCCCTAAGTGGTATCTCTGTACTCCAATTGTTCTAGTGAGAGGATGTAAATATCTTTATTAGGTGAAATAGACATTGTCTTAGTCCGTTCTGGTTACTCTCAGAGAATACCATAGCCTGGTAGCTTGTAAAAACAAATTTATTTCTCACAGTTCTGGAAGCTACAAAGCCCCAGATCAAGGCACCAGCAGATTCAGTGTCTGTTGCGGGCCATCTTCCTTCCTGGTTTATAGAAGACAGTCATCTTGCTGTGTCCTCACATGGTGGAAGGGGCAATGAGCTCCCTGGGATGTCTTTTATAAGGCCACCAATCCTATTCATGAGGTCTTCACCTTCATGACGTAATCACCTCTCTAATGTTCCCACTTCTTAATACCATCACAATTGGGGTTAGGCTTCAAAGTATGAGTTTTGGCAGGGACACAAATATTCACTCCATGCAGGATATGGAGTAACTGGATCAAGGAGTTATGATAATTTCTTCTTCAAGGGGTATATTATTTCAGGGGAGGGCATGAACTCCTCTTAATGAACTTAAAGCACCTCAGGATACAAGTAAGTTATTTTTTAATGCCCATGTCTTATCTCCCCAAGTAGATTGAAAATTCCTTGATAAATTTTTTTTTTTGCTATTTAAATTTTAAAGTTTTAAAAACAAAATAAAAAACCAGTTCCTTTGTTGCACTAAACCACATTTTAAGTGCTTAGTAGCTGTATGTGACTAGTGGCTATCTCATTGGACAGGACAAACAATGAGCAAAACTTTGTAGCTAACTATATGGCTGCAAAGTATGTACTAAGAGAAATCTGCAGGAGACCAGCTCCTGCAGGAGACCAGCTCCCGCAGGTCCAGGGGTTCCCTTTGGTGGAGACGGCATCAGCGAGGAAAAGAAGAAAAACGCGTGGAGACACAGGAGCGCTTTCAAGAAGTGTCTCACTTTATTTTTACAGCATGTCCTTTTTATACTGGGCAGTTGACATTTTCCAGAGTTAAACTTTTGCCCTTTTGGAAGTTGTTTTTCTCAGAGTTTTTCTTCCTCGTGATGTTTCTATTACAGGGTACAGCCTGACCTGTTCTATACTAATGACTAACTTATCCTAACTATGTTTCAATTTCTACCTGTAATGGCTTTGTGGCTAGAGCTGAGTCTCTGCCCTGGCACTTAAAGGATGTCTGCTATAACTACTTAGCAATTATTTCAAGCACTACTGCCTAAACAGGGTCTTAAGAATTATAAGGTGCATAACTTGTCTATTACTAAGAAACTAAAAGCAAAACAGAATTATTGCAATATGTCTAAAACTCACTTATTTAGTTAAGATAAACTAAATAACCAATATAAGAAGGGTGTCATATCTTCGTCCTACTGGGGGCATCCAAAAGGGAATTAAAAAAATTTTCAAGATGTAAAGCAGTATCTGTTTCTCAGAGCGTCAGAATTTGTCACAATAGCAGTGCGCTTGGCCATGTCAAACACTGAGGTGCAGCCGGCTCCCAACAGAATTTTCTGCCATAATTCCCACCATCCCAGGAAGTTCTGTTGGAGAGCACTCATTTACATGATTTTATATTTCCCAGCACAGAAAAACAAAAATTATATTTTGTTTTGGAGAGTGAATGAATGAAGAGTATGTTATTGAAGGGAATGAACCATTGGGAGGCAGTTCTAAAGAACACAGTTTTCTCCTCCCAAATTTTGTGTGATTAGAGACTCAATCACTGAATATAAACTGGGCAGAGCAGAAAAGAAAAAGGATCCTCTGAATAAATAGAATAAAAAGAAGGACAAGAATCTTAGTCTCTAAGAATGGAGGAGATTATAGGAGGGGAAGGTTCCATCCTCAAGGGATGTTGTAGAGAAGAGCCTTTGTATTTGTCCACGGAACTATCACCCTTGAGAGTTGCCACCATTTCAAAGATCCCAGCTCCCCCATTACCTGCTGAATTGAGACGTGCTTTCAGTTTTCATTCTCCTTCTCCTGGGAGTGGGCTCTTGGCCTTTCACTATCCAGAGTACTTTCCCTTAATCTCATAACTATCCCATAGTTTTCCACCTACTCAAGTTAACAAACTGTGAATCTTGCTTATCGGAAAAGAAATGGAAATTTGCTTTGCCATGTGTGGCTGTTTCAGAATTCAATCTATTGGGCAAGTCATGCCTTCAGATATATTTTAAGGCATCAACAGGCAAAGGAACAGCCTTCATCGACCTTACAATCTCGTGAGGGAGACAGTAAATGGGCTATATGATGTCAGGAAGTGACAAATCCTATGAGGAAAAATAAAGCCTAGTAATAAATAATGATAGGTAGTAATTTATAGTAATGTATAGGTAGTAATGGAGGAAGTTTTATTCCTGTCCCCCACCCCCAGGCTTTTCTGGATATAATTTGAGCCAAGACTATAATAGTACTGAGGGGAGTCACCTATCATATCATTTGTAAGCAGATGACAAACATCTCAGGGCTGTTTTCCTTTTTAAAAAATTATTTTTCAGTTACAGTTGACATACAATATATTAGTTTTAGGTATACAACATAGTGATTAGACATTTATATACCTTATGAAGTGGTCACCCAATGAGTCCAGCATAGGGCTGTTTCTAATGATTGACAGCCCTCCTGCCTCAAAAACTTGAATGCAAATTCCCCAGCCATATCCTGCACCCCTAAACCAGATCCTATAACGGCTTGAGTCCAGGACGCTCTCTGCATTTGTAACAGCCTAAGGTACACCTCGTTTTGAAATTCTCTGCCCTAAATCCTAGATTACTGTCTCCATCACCACCCATACATTATAATGGGACGGATTCAGTTTGTGCCCTTCCCATTGATACCAGACCTTTACTGGCCTCATCTTCGTGGCCTTTTCCTGAGTCCCCACCCCAAAGACAACTTAGGCTCGTCCCAGCCGTTCTTTTCCCCTTGAACGTGGTGATGTCCAGACCCACACAGTACCAGTTTCTGACAATCTTTTTCTGTCCTAAAAACCGCTTCCTGCAAACTATTTTCCGGCCAGAAGCTTTCCGTGGGTGTTCGTTTACCGGATGTATCTTGTTCCTTTTTAGGAGTGCCTTCTCTGCTGCTACCTACATATGCATTCCTAATTGTCCGTTTGGAAACTTTTTTTTTTTATATATAAAGCGGAGAATGTCCTCCGCGGCCATAGTACTTCTTTGCCCAGCCTGCTGAAAGCAACTTAGCTCGCATCATGCCTTGCGAAGCTCTGAAAATTTACCCATTTTCTGCCAAAGTCGAAGTGCCAGAAAACAAGATAATTTCAGTGACTTCTCTCACTTTCCCGCCATCCCTGGCTACTGGCCCCAAACAAGCCTCTTTGCCTTCCGTACGTCAGTCAGGTCTCCCAACATGGCGGCCCCCATGGCGTCACTGCGAGCAGGGCGCGGACATATTGCCGCCTAAGGCAATACCGGCAGTACTCTTGTCCGCGGTCTTCAAACGCCTCACAGCCGCGTCAGCCACTGTAGTCGGAGCCGGAGAGTTCCAGAAGTTGAAACGGTTCTCGGAAGTACAACGTTTGCACTGTCCTTTGGGTCTGGGGAAAATCAGGTCGGTGTGTAGTTTTGTCCCCGGGAGGTTTTTTTGTTTTGTTTTGTTTTTGTCACAGTAGAGGTTTTGTCTCTCATAGGGTGACGTATGTACGTGGTGTAGTATGAACCGTGGAATTATCGCCGGGGTCCGATGGAGAGGGTAGAAACCCCGAGGTGAAGGGAGTTAAGGGAAATCAAGTGGGAACAGGATTTAAGGTGTTTGCGGGGAACCAGATTCGTCTGTCTGTGGTTGGGGTGTTCTGAGGGTCAGTACAACAATTAAGAGTGTAGAGATCAGTGCCCTTGTCCCCATTGTCAGAGTGTGGGGTTCTGCACGTCACCCCACTTGTACGGGGTGCAGGTGGCATTAAGGATGATCGCTTTTTCTGGTTCAGTTTGGGGATTTAATGTAGAGCTCAGTGATGTTGGGCTCGGGGTGGATAGTCATCACGTGGGGGTGTTTGCCCTGGTTTCGCATTAATAAGGAAGCATGTAATGATTGTGGTCCCGAGAGGCTTGTGAGGGTGAAGCTTTGGACGCCTAGAACCTCTTGTGTTTGGTTACGGTTGATGGCCTGCTGCAAATCCCCCGGAGTGGGGACTCAAGCCCTGGGTTAAGAGGGTTCTTGGCTTCTCGTAGGAAAGAATTCAAACGTGAGCTGATACAGAGTTTAAAGTGAAAGTAAGTTTATTTAGCAGAGAGTAAGAAAGAAAAGGCCACCCCCAGACGGAGTGGTGGTCTCTAATTGCTAATGGAAGAGAGACGCGCTCCCCCTCCCCCACCTTCCAGGTAGGGCTTACATGTGTTCCTTGTTTCTATGGAAATTTTCTTGGTTTTGGGAAAAGTAGGAAAGAACAATGGTAAGTTTATCTTTAACTTCTGCAAGATACAAGAAGAATAGGGGCAGGTTTATCTGTAACCTTCGTAAAATACAGCCTGTGGCTAGTTTATAATAGGTTTAATTATGGGAATGGCCATTACAGTAGAATCTCTTGCTGTGTAGGCTTCGGATGGTCTGTTCTGTGTGATTAATGCCTACCTGAGTTCTGTGTATGGTGGCACGTGGGTAGCAGGCTTGGGATCCAACCTTCTGGTTCCTTCTTCTGTAAAAATAGTCCTCGTGCCCCTTCCCTATGTTAAGGCTACTACCTTGGCTGCTGCTGCTGGGTCCGAAGGAGGTACAGCCCAGGGAATTGGTTCGAAACCATCTGTTTCTTAATCTTTAATCCAGGAGTTGAGTAACTACAGACTGAGAGACTAAACAAGCAACGCCCGTCTGTTATGTATCTTCTATGGCTTGTTTTGTGCTGCAGACGCAGAACTGGGTCGTTGTGACACAGACATTTTGGACTGCAAAGTCAAAAATGTTTATGTGTCTCTTTGCAGAAAATATTTGTCAATGCTTGCACTCACCTCTTTTGTGTGTGTGTGTGTGTGTGTGTGTGTGTTTGTATACAGTTTTCAGTTTTATTTAATGTTTTCCTCTTAGCTAACAATATTTTCTATGTGAATATTATTGTTTTTAAAAAAATTTCTTTTATTAGTTTCAGGTGTACAAAACAATGCACTAGTTATACTTTTACTCCTCACAAAATGACAACTCCCCTCCCCCAATTCACTGCCCCCCACGCCCATATTATATATATCTATTACAATTCCATTGACTCCACTCCCTACACCATACCCCACATCCTGTGACTATATAGATAAATTATAGTTGACATACAATATTACTCAGTGTCAGCTTCAGGAGTACAGTGCAGCGGTCAGGCCTCAACACTGCCCATGAAGTGGTCTCCCTAACAAGACGTGTCCATCTGACACCCTACAAAATATTTACAGCATTATTTATTATATTCCCCAAACTATCCTTCTTATCCCTGTGGCAGTATTGTAGTTACCATTTTATGCTGTCTGATCTCTTCCCCTTATCTCTCATCCCCAACCCCATGCCATCTAGCAACCATCAGTTTTTCCTCTATATCTCTGAGACTATTTGTTTACTTTGCTCATTTATTCAGTTCTTTAGATTCCACATATAAATGAGATCATATGGTATTCGACTGACTTATTTCACTTAGTATAATGTTCTCTAGGTCCATCCATTATCGTTGCAAATAGTAAGATTTCATTTTTCTTTATATTTGAGTAACACTCCATTGTATAAACATACCACAGTTGTTGTTTTTTTAAAGATTTTATTGGGGAATTGGGGGAGGGGAACAGACAAGTTGCTATCCTTTTGTTCTTCAGTCTAGTTGTGGAGGATGTTGCTTCACTGGCCCATGTTGGCATTATCATTGCGCTCTTCCCGGGTGAGGCAGTCGCTCTCCAGCCATTGAATGGCCACCCACAGTGGCTCATGGCAACTCTTGCCGGCCACTGCCAGCCCCACTGCAGCCTACGCCGTCGCCGGCAACTCATGGCAGCCCAGCTCCAAATTGAGCTGTGGTTTGCCATCTTAGCTATAGAGGGTGCAGCGTCACTGGCCCTCATGTGGTTTTTGAATCCGGGCTCTGCTGCTCAGAGCTGGCATCCCAAGCCAACTCCTAACCAACGCATCACTCGGCTGGCCCCATACCACAGTTTCTTAATCCAGTTGTCTACTGATGGGCATTTCGGTTTTCAAGTCTTAGCTATTGTAAATTGTGCTGCAATCAATGAGTGCATATATTTTTTGAGTTAGCATCTTGGGTTTCTCTGGATAGATACCTAAGAGTAGAATTGCTGGGTTATAAGGTAGTTCCATTTCCAGTTTTTAGAGATACCTCCATACTGATTTCCATAGTGGCTGCACCAATCTGCAGTCCCACCAACAGTGCACCAGGGTTCCCTTTCCCCCACAACCTCGCCAGCACTTGTTTGTTGGTGTATTGATGATAGCTGTTTTGACCAGTGCACTCACCTCTTAATATAGAGCAACGGATACTGTAGCTTACTTGCCTGACATACAGTCATACTTTTTTTTTTTGCTAACAATCTTCATGTTGTTTAGTATCTACCCTCTGTCAGGGTGACCCATATCCTAGTTAACCCTGGTCCGTCTTAGTTGTGGGGGTTCCAACTACCATTGGTAGTGATTGAATTACTGCAAAACAAGTAGGTGTATGATGCACTTCTGGCTACCTATAATGGTGAAAATCTACTTAGTGCTTTGTGGTGAACATTTTCTCTTAAGTAATTCCTTGAGTCTGAAGTGAATCAGATTTTGCCACTCTAAAATATTCATTTTTGGGATATTGATTACTTTAGGCTGCTTAATTTTAAGAAACAGCAGCCCTGTAGAAACTAAAAATCTAGAAATTTCCTTTGTAAAATTTATATTTTTGCAAGGGCAATCCTCAGTATGGGTGTCTCTCTCACTGTACCTGGCCTGCCTTCACTTTCAGTGGAGAACGTGGGGACTCAAATCTGCATAGCAATTTAATCCTTATATCCCATCCTTTTCCTGGTAAACTCCCATAACTGAATCTCCACCCCCACCCTCAACATCTTTGGTGTTTAGCTGTAGGTGGTATTTAAGTTTATGACTTCTGCCATTTCGGAAAGTTACTCAGTTTTGCTGGGTCTCTTCAATGTTTACAGGAGATATAATTGTTACAAAACTTTTTATTGTTTTTCTATTGATCCATTACACCAATTTAATTCTTGGACCAGCCAAAGAACCTAGAAGGGAAGAAGGCAAAAATTATTCTGCCCCTACAGTGTCATTTCCCTCATCTATGACAGTCACTCCACTTAAACTCCACAGGATAAAGGAACACCTGCCATTTAGAACCTAAGGCTTTATTGCCCACAGGAATAAATTCTTCCAGAACACCAAATAAAGGGACACTTAGCAATATTGTGGACAATGTGTGAAGCTGAGCACTCAGGAGCAGTGTAGCATCTGGGCCTAGTGGAATGTACCACTCAAATAGAATTTTTTCCTCAACCCACAGGTACCAACTGCCAGGAGCAAAACAGTCAACTGAAAGGAGTTACAGGATTGGGTGTCATCATTTCCGGGGACACATGTGTCTGAAGACAGATTTCTGAACAGAAGTTTCAAGTGGTTCCAGAAGACACCGAGACACAGTCTCCCCATTGCCAGCTGTTTTCAAAAAAACAGAAGAAAATGCTCCAGGACCAGGTGACTTTGGGTTTGTTTTATTCGTTCCTTTGTTCCCTATTGGATTTGTAGAGGCCTATAAAACCAGTTCTGTTAATCTGAAAGTAGATACGTATATATGAATGTGTTGTTTCTAGGTTAATAAGAACATTTAACTTTGACACATTATAGAAACTTCTAATTAGATAAATGTATGGATGACTGAATGCACAATTACTGAATTTTTAAAAAAGATTTTATTGGGGAATTGGGGGAGGGGAACAGCATTGGAGAATCGGGGAAGGGGGACAGACAAGTTACTGTCCTTTTGTTCTTCAGTCTAATTGTGGAGGACGCTGCTTCACTGGCCCATGTTGGTATTATGATCATTGCGCTCTTCCTGGCTGAGGCAGTAAGTCACCGGCCATTGGACAGCTGCTCACAGCAGCTCACGACAGCTCTCTTTGGCTGCTGACGGCCAGCCACTCATGCTGGCTGCCGGCCACTCACAGTAGCTAACGGCAGCCCACTGCAGTCCCACTGCAGCCTATGCCGTTGCCGGCCACTCATGGAAGCCCAGCTCCAGGTCGAGCTGTTGTTCACCATCTTAGCTGTAGAGGGTGCAGCGTCACTGACCCATGTGGGAACCGAGCCAGCAGCCCTGCTGCTCAGAGCTCGCACTCCCAAGCCAACTTAACCAACTGAGCCACTCGGCTGGCCTATTGAATGTTTTATTAGGCATTTTCAACTATAAAAATAAAACCCCATGCAATATCTAGATCCAGCCTATAAAGTGAAAATGAGCATAAAAAGTAATATTTCTTCCCTATCATCAAAAGGACATCACCCCATTAAACAGCATAGTGTTGTTACAGGAGTCCCTGACATTTGACGATGTGGCTGTGGACTTCACCAGGGAGGAGTGGCAGCTCCTGACTCCCAAGCAAAAGGACCTGTACCGGGACGTGATGTTGGAGAACTACAGCAACCTGGTGTCAGTGGGTAAGGATGGCTCCCCTGTGTCACTCAGAGGTCCCCAGTCAGTGGCCTTTCCATTCTCAGCTCCTGACAGGTCTAAAGTGGCATGAGTCTCAGTCTCCGCTCTGGCCCCAGAGAAAGGGGTATATTCTCGCTCCTCCTGAGAGAAAAGCCTTTGCTTTTGTAGGTGTGAAAATTATTTTGTCCTCTTTAAATCTTACAGTCTGTGGTCTTCACAGAACCCCAAGCCCAATTCAGTGTGTTTAAGTCTTCTATCATTTTCCACGAACAGGATATCAAGCCAGCAAACCAGGCGCGCTCTCCAAGGTGGACCGAGGAGATTCACCATGGACAATGGCAGATGAAGTCTGCTCTCAAACCCGTTCAGGTGAGTGAGGGAACCAGCAAGGGGAGAAGTGTGGAAATCGCAGTCTAGTCGTTCAGAGAAGAGTCACAGGTGAGGGGGTTTGAGGATAGGTAGGCAGTGCCTCCATGCACGTCTCTCCCGATGGGAGACCTCTTTATCTTTGTAGGAGTTTAGAGAAAAATATATTCCTTTATTTCTCTGTTTTGTTTGTATTTTGATTGTTTACATAGTTTTCTTCTTTGTAGGATTCTCAGATCTTTTCCATCTTAATAATTTTCCACCTCCTGGCTATGAGATTCCACCATCCAAGGCTATTAAGTTAGAGGTGCTGTCATTATCTCCTCCCACCATGCCAGCCACAACAGTGAATCTACCAGGGCGTCCTGGCTTCTTCCAAAATGTAGCCTGATTTCCTCTGTCCCTCGCCATCTCTGTTGCACCTTCCCACCAGCTTTCCCAACCTGTAGCTGTTTTCCTTGTGTCTATCTTTGCCCTGTAAGTGGTTCTACGAAAGTGCAGTGTAGACTCCATGCACATGAGGACAATGTTTTTTATCCCCATCCTAGCACTGTGCTTGGCTCACAGGGGTTGTCAGGAATGTGGAGTCAGAGAGTCTGTCTCATCCACTTGAATGAGGGGGCACTCCCACCTGTGCTCCACTGCTCCAGTAAATTGCTTACATTTTACAGTCTCTGCACGTTTGGCAAGGCCAATATTCAGAAAGTAGCCAAATTTGTGTTTATTCATTTGTCACGTCCTGCGTGGCTAGGGCAAATGGGACACGAGAGGGGCGACGCAGATTGAAAAGAGCACAAGAGACCAAAGTCAGATAAGAACGAGACCAAGGGGCATCAGCCTAGAGGACTGGGCTGAGCCCTGAATCAGGTCTTCGCATGGCTTTTATTGAGAAAATTTCAAAGGAAGTGAAACTAATTTACTCAAAGATCTGTGTGCTACGTGCCTTAAGGCTGTTTTCCATTAATTAGCTTCCATTGTGCTCCAACATGTACTATGCCTTCATACATCCTACACAACCCCCTGGACAGTGCCATTCTGTCATGTACTATACAAATAAAGGGAGATGACCGATATCATTCCATCGGACCTCAGCTTTCCGAGACACTCCCTAGAGGAAGCTTTACCAATATCGTTCCATCGGGTCTCAGCATTCTGAGACACTTCCTCAGGACCTCGTTAGGTCAGGGATTAGTGCGGAGGGTGGGGGCGGTCGTGGAGGTAGCTGTAAGGCAATATTCATTATTACTGTTTTTCCCAATGTACACAGAACATTAAACATGGAGTTTTATTTAGACTCATATCATAGGGTCGTCACTAAAAAAGACAGCTCACATCAGGGTATTTTTTTGAATTACTTTTCTTCCAAATCAAGATGATGGACGCATTCATTGTTTTCTTTTCTAGAAATCTGGAAAGATGATGATCATCTGGTGGAGCACTTACAAAATGAAAATATGGAGAATAACCTAGAGCAATGGCATGAATGTAACACATTTGAAAATTCTGTCCATTGGAGCAGAACTCTTTTATTAAGGCAAGATCACAATATGTTTGACTCACATGGAAAAAGTATGAAATCAGATTTAACTTTACTTAACCGGAGCAAAAGCTGTGAAATAAAGAACCCATCTGAGCTTAGTGGAGATGGGAAATCCTTTCACCATGTTAACAGTGAACAATTTCAGACTGCAGTTAAATTCCCCGAAAGTCGAAAACTCATCAGCACTAAGTCCCAACTCATCAAGCATCAGAAGACTCAAAAAATAAAGAAACGTCATGTATGCAGTGACTGTGGGAAAGCTTTCATGAAGAAGTGTTTGCTCACTGATCACCAGAACCTTCATACAGGAGAGAAGCCCCATCAATGTATTCTGTGTGGGAAAGCCTTCTCCAGAAAAGTCACACTGAATGAACACCAGAGATCGCACACAGGAGAGAAACCTTACGAATGCACTGAGTGTGGCAAAGACTTTCTCAAGAAATCACGGCTTAATATACATTACAAGATACACACAGGAGAGAAACCCTTTATATGCAGTGACTGTGGGAGAGGCTTCATCCAGAAAGGCAACCTCATGGTACATCAGCGGACTCATACCGGTGAGAAACCTTATATATGCAACGAATGTGGAAAAGGCTTCAGCCAAAAGACATCCCTCACGACACATCAGAGATTTCACACAGGAAAGACCCCCTTTTTGTGCAGTGAATGTGGAAAATCTTGTTCCCAGAAGACAGGACTCATTAAACATGAAAGAATTCACACAGGAGAGAAACCTTTTGAGTGCAGTGACTGTGGGAAAGCCTTTATTGGAAAGCCACAGCTTGTTGTTCATCAGAGAATTCATACAGGAGAACGACCCTACAGATGCAGTGAGTGTGGGAAAGCCTTCAGAGCGAAGTCGGTCCTCAATGAACATAAGAAAATTCACTCAGTCAAGGTGGAAAACCCTGTCCCGGAGAGTCACAGCTCATCACAGACCAGTGTTGTCCTGCAGGAGAAAAACCTTATTAATTCGGTGACTGAGCAGGTGCCACCTGTGGCCCCTCACACAGCATTAAACATCAGTGGGCTCCCAGCCAACAGGAATGTAGTCATAGTGGGCCAGCCTGTAGCCAGATGTGCACCCTCAGGAGGATTTACACAGGACAGAAACCTTATGAATGCAGTGAGTGTGGTCACGCCTTCAGTGATCAATTACGTCTTATTTTATGTCACATCACAGCAAACCATTAGGAAAAAACTCAGAGACATTCTATGTGTAAAAGGCTTGAGCAAAAGTTTCTAGCTCATACTGTGTCTGAAAAGTCAATACTGAGAAAAATTGAGAAATGCTGGGACTAGGAAAGCCTGACATCCTATTAAACAGATGCATTGATACAGAAGCATAATCTGATGTTAACCCAAACATACATCAGTTGCTCTATTGTGTCAATTAATGGAATGAAAGAAACTAAGTGGAGGAAATAAGTGAATGTTTAAAACATAATTTGTGGGCCGGCCGAGTGGCGCGATGGTTAAGAACTCGCTTGGGATGCCAGAGGGCCCCGGTTTGGATCCCACACTGCCCTCTACAGCTAAGATGCTGAACAACAGCTCAACCTGGAGCTGGGCTGCTGTGAGTCACAGGCGATGGCGTAGGCTGCAATCCCTGTGGCAGTGGGTTGCCATGGGTACCGTATGTAGACAGCAGCCGGTGTGAGCCGCCAGCAGCCGCAGTGAGCGGCCGTCCAGAAGCCGGCGACTGATCTGCCTCGCCAGGGAAGAGCACAATGATGGTGCCAACTTGGGCCAGTGAAGCAACATCCTCCACAACTAGATTGACAAACAAAAATGACAGCAACTTGTCTGTTCCCCTTCCCCCAATTCCCCAGCACTGTTCCCATCCCCCCAATTCCCCAATAAAAAAATCTTTAAAAAAAAAACAAAAAACAAAACAAAACATAATTTGTATCTGAAATGTTGCTATGAATGACAAACCAGGAAAGGTTAATGCTGGACTGGTGGGATGTGAGCATGCATAATATATATCAGTTCAGCTTCCCCAGGCCAGGGTGAAGGGTTAAGTGAAAACTGGGGTGTCTACCCGAAACTCTCAGAAGTTGATATGCAGAGGGATTTAAGGAACAACAGGTTTAGACTGAGTTGACTCATTCATTTACTAAATATTGGTTAAATACTTCCTTTGTCCCTGGTTCTGTTCCAGGAGCTGAGGATACAGTGGTGATCAAAACAGAATCCTGTGGTCTGGAGAGACCAGTGATGTAGTGGGATTACCTTTTAAGTGGTATCTCTGTATTCCAGCTAATGTACCAAGAGGATGTAAATATCTTTATTAGGAGAAATGGACATGGAGTGATTGGTTCAGGATATGGCAATTTATTGTTGAAGGAGCATATTAGTTTGAGGGATTGGGGAAGAACTCTTCAGTGGCAATAAAGCACCACAGAACTCAAATTAAGTTTCTGAAAGCCCATTACTTTTCTCCCTAAGGAGTTTATAATAAATTCCCTAATTTTAATGGTTTAAATTTTAATGTTTAAACCAATTTAAACAAAATTTTTGAAAAACTGAAAACCAATAAAAAAGAAGTTACTCCATTGCAGTCGCCACATTTCATATGCTTAACAGTCATGTGACAAGTGGCTACAAGTGGCACAATAAAATAGTGAAACAGAGAAATTACTATCATTTTCATTGTTGTGGAACGTTATATATTGGGGAGTGCTGGCTTCCCTCATTTTTATATTTTCCAGTACATTAAAGGAACAAACAAGCATAGCATCCTAATTATATATAGATTTGAAAAGTGAATTAATGGACTAATGGGCTAATCAAAATGTATTTTGTCACTGATGGGACAGTACTAAAGAACAGAACTTATCCCAAACTTCATGTGGGATCAGAGAGGCTTATTAACTGGTTATAAGAGGAGCAGAAAAGGAAAATGATTCCTAGAACAAAAAACAAAAAGAACCTTAGTGTCTAAGAATGGAGGAGTGTATAGGAAGTAGGAGGAGGTGACATCTTTCTGGAATGTCTTGGAGATGAGTCCTTAAAATTTGTCCACAGGCCTGTTACCTGTGGAAAGGGTCCAGGCTCCTCTGGGACCTGCTGAATTGAGACATGTGAGTTCTCCTATCTTCCCTCATTCCTTCCCACTGTCCTGGAAGTAGGTTCTTCTCCTTCATCCAGAGTTCTTTCCCTTGATCCCATGAGGCTGTAATATCCTGGTTACACACAATAAGTCATGCTGATAGAAAAATAAATGGAAATTTGGCATGCTGTGTCTGTTTCAATTCAGTCATAATTCTGGGTTTGGGTAATTTACTCCTTCAGAAATATTTTAGAGTAGCATCACTGTTCAAAAGCATGGTTTTATGCACATCAAACATCAGTGAATTCAACAGGCAAAGGAGCAGCCTTATGGACCTTATAAACTAATGAGGAAGAGAGACTAAATGGATTATATAAGCTCCTGAAGTGATAAATCCAATGAAGGAAAAGCCTAGTAAGAGGTCATAATGGGGGAGACTTCCCCCTTCCCAGTGGAAGGCTTCTGAGGATATAAGTTGAGCCAATTCCACAGTATGGAGGGGAATCATGCCCCATCATCTTAATCTAACCACAGAACATTGCAAGACAGTTTTATGATTGTCTATCATAGGCCTCAGATTCTCTGAGAAACAGAAAAGAATGCAAATTCCTGAGTCATACCCCATACCTAAACCAGAACGTCTGGGGCTAGAGACCAGGACTCTGCATTTTCAAGGGCCTGATGCACTCATTTTGAACATCTTAGCCCTAAATCCTGGGTTACTGTTTCCATCACCACCCTCAGTATACCTTGTAATGGGATGGGTTCAGTGTAGATGGTCTCCAGCAAAGAATCAGTCATGAGTGCTCCTCCAACTAGATACTCAGATCCCCTCCACTTGTCTTGTGAATCTCCAGATCCGGCCATGGTAAGATCAGGTTGGCTCACTCATGGACCTGAACAGTCAGGGCCCGGGATGGGGTGTGAAGCTGACTTGATCCCTGAAGGCCACGTGCTGAGCTCACTTCAGAGCTTGACATCCCCAGGTGAAGGTGACCTAGGACACACCTAAGCCTGCTACCACACCCAGATCCTCATGGTTCCAATAAAGTCCGCCCATTACCTTGATTAGTGCTTAGGGGTGGGAGCCTGAACTCACACTGCCTGATCTGAATCTTACCTAAGCTGTGTGCCTTTAAGCAAGTTACTTAACTCACCTATGTCTCAGTTTATCTTTAAAATATCTGCTTCAGGTTTGTTGTAAGTAGATGTAGTTAAAACAATGCCTGCCAAACAGGCAATTAAAAGTATTAGTCCTAGTGAAGGCAGAATCCCTCTTTCCATTTTCTGAGTCATCTTCATTGATCATCTTCAGTTACCACTTTTCCAGTGAAGCCTGTGGGCGTCAATTTTCACCATAGGATCTGCCCTACAGCCAACACCATCCAGACCTGCCTTATTCCACCTCATCCCTGTTCCGCCCCATTCCCAAATATCACCTAGACTGAAAGTCCTGTGTTTTTGTCCACGGTCTGACCGCTGCCTCTTAACGTCTAGGCTCCTACAAACTTCGTTGACCATCCAAAGGCTCCTCAGGCCTTTAGCTCCCTCAATCTTCTCTAACGTTATCAAACTGCGCTTCCTGCAAGATGGCCGCCTCCGTGGTGCTCCTCTGTAATGGCTCATGGGCGCCGCCATATTTCCGTTTTGCCCAAAACCCTGACTAGACTACAGCTCGCGTCAAGTTGGCCTTGGATAGGTTCCGGCCTTTGAAAACTTATTCAGCACAGTATTGTTGACCCACATCAGGAGGAAAAGGCACGGAGGTTGCCAAAAAGTAATTTCAGTTTCTCACCGCGGTGAGCCGCAGGCGCCGTTACGGCCACCTCGACTGGCACCGCCAAGGTAGGTGAGGCCACGTTACGTCATAGAGCCGCGCTTAAGGCCAGAGTTCAAACGTCCAGAGCGTTCCAAGGTCACAGAAGGACCAGAAGCGTCCGTAGCGACACCCACAGCGCTGGGGGGTAAGTCGTTTTGGAAGTGAGGTCAGCCTTGATAACTGCCCGTGGAGTCTTGAGAAGCTCAGCATCAAGTGAGGCGGGGTCTGCGCCGGGTTGCGCCGTGGAGACCTGTGAGTCGACTGAACGGCTGTTGTGGGGACTTTTGATTCTGTCACTGGGATGTCTTGGCTTTATTTAGTATTCCGCCCTCTGGTGGTCAGTGTTATTAAATGTATGAAGAGATTAACGACGGAGGGTCCGATTGTTGGGGTTTGTTGTCTGTGTGGGTGATGCTTGTAGAGCCCAATGATTAACCCCTTGGGTACCAATTTATTTGAAAAAAAATTTGCGTATGGGACAGATTTAATTTTTTGGTACTTGGAGTAATATGTAAAAGCAGATTTTATGTCAAAATTCATTTCTAAAAAATCAGTGACATACATAATATTGAGATGACTTCAGATAATTAGAATTGCAAAACGAAAATAAACACAAAACTAAACAAATACATTGAAGGTATAACAAAAAGCAAATTACTAATAGTTATGAAGAGTATGGTATTTTTTAACGCAAGTAGGTAAATGCAGTGGCACCTGGCATTGTTTGCACTGCCAGGTAGTCTCTTTCCTGATTTTATGTTTATAACAAACATGGCACCTTTTTGTAGGGTGTTGCTTGGATTCAGTTGATGGAATATTCTCAGGAAAGTGTGCCCAATTTTTCACCTGCAAATGAAAAGGTGTATTGCTATTTGAAAAATGTCCCCGACAATTATAATTTGGCAATGACACTAGCTCCAGTAATTGTTCAGCAATAGCTAAACGAAAGCAAACAATGCCTGTTTTCGTTGTGTAGTTGATTTTAGAATATAAAACGTGCATTATTAAAGGCTATGTCTATTAGATAGATTAAAAAAAAATTCTTATATCCCTTTACACATTTTCTCATAACAGCTAGTATTTGATCCTGTTCATCAATGCCTCCCATACCGTTATTATACTCAAGCACACATGCTGGTTTTATAATATTTTCGATATCGCCACCTTGTTTTTTTCTCTTTTTGCCTGTGTCTGTCAAGTCAGCATTTGAATGTTTCGTGCTAAGTGTATGAACGTCTTTCTTATCTTTCCATTTTAAAGCCAATAAACCACGACTGAATAAAGTGGTTTTTTTAAAAAAAGATTTTATTGGGGAATTGGGGAAGGGAAACAGCTAAGTTGTTGTCCTTCAATCTTAGTTGTGAAGGGCACAGCTAGCTCAGCTCCAAGTCCAGGTGCCATCCTGCCATCTGTCGTAGCTCACGGCCGCTCAGCTCAAGGTGCTGTGTTCAGTCTTAGTTGTGGGTGGGCATAGCCCGCCATCCCATGCGGGAGTCAAACCAGCAACCTTGTTGTTAGGAGCACGTGCTCTCACCAGCTGAGCTATCCTACCATCTGTTGGCAGCTCAGCAGCAGTTCAGCTTGGGCACAACTCACTGGCCCATGTGGGAATCAAACCAGCAACCCTGTTGCT